ACACCCCATCATCGCTCTCTGCACTCTCTCCTTCTCCCCGTGAACAACCCTCATTCTCCCTCTTCGCCCTCTCTGCACTCTCTGCACTCTCTGCACTCTCTCCTTCTCCCCGTGAACAACCCACACCCTCACTTCCACACCACATCAACGGCGACACCACCTCATCGCCATTCTCCGTCTCTACGTCTCTGTCTCTGCCTCGGTCTCTCCGTCTCCGTCTCTCCCTCAGTCTCTCCGTCTTCGTCTCTGCCTCGGTCTCTCCGTCTCCGTCTCTCCCTCGGTCTCTCCGTCTCCATCTCTGCCTCGGTCTCTCCGTCTCCGTCTCTCCCTCGGTCTCTCCGTCTTCGTCTCTCCCGCGATCTGGATCCTTCTTCTTCGATCTGGTTTCTGGATCCTTCTTCTTCGATCGGGTTTCTGGATCCATCTTCTTCGATCTCTCTTCTCCCAAACACACACACACACAGAGATCGCCGTTGATCGTGGCTCAGGCGAAGTCAGAGGTGCGCCGCGGAGCAAGGATCGTTCGTATTCCGCTTCGTCAGGTGAGATTCCATGAAACCCTAAACCCTAATCTCTCCGACTTCACCTTGCCTTGAATCGTTTGTATATTTGTGAAATCTGATGTATATTTGTGAAATTAATGTTAAGATTTGTGTTTTTGCAAGGTTTTTGGGACGAAACCGGCCCGGGAATCGCCCCACGGTCTCCGGCGTTCTTCTCCGACGTCGCCTCGGATTCCGATTCCACCGTCCATGGATATTTCGCCGATAATTTCCAAATATCGCGATATTATCGATATTATCGATAATATCGCGATATTTGGCCGAAAACCCCACGGAAACCAGTTAAAATATCGCCGACCGGAAAAATCGATATTATCGGCGAAATATCGCCGATAATATCGATATTTAAATCTGTGGTTATAATATACCAAACACACATGAAAATTGTTCTTAATTAGCAAATTATCGTACTTGTGGGAGAAATGTTATTCACCCTAGATGAAAACTTACACTACGTTTCGAATTTAAACATTTTTTTCATTTAATTTAATTTAGAATAGGAATATCAATCGTATTAAAAAATGACAACGTAATTTTTCAACGTAATAAATAAACCCATGCATTTATCAGAGCTCCATTGAAGGACGCCATATTAATGTCCTTAGGCTGAGAGCTTAGAATTGGTAGAATCTGCCACATGTAAAGTCCGAGTTTGCAGACAATGAGAGTGAACGAACTGTGTGCGTCCGCATGGCATTAATGAAATAAAATTACTAGAAACGAAAATAAAACACACTTTCATGGACAAACATGGGGGTGGGTCTTGCTACTTTGTTTGTATATAGTGGGTAATTCCGAAATTTTTTTATACGATCCGTGAACTGATAATAAATGATATGAAAATTATTAGTTTTGGGTCAACTATTAACGAGTCAGATCGTTCATATTACCGATTAACGATTCAGATCGTTACCTGGTCACATGTCAAGAATTCGTTAAGATAATGGTTATGATACGTAAACAATTTTCAAAATTTAAACATTAGGCATGACAATTTTTTGCAAAACTCATTAATCTGACATAATTCGTTAACGAGTTGGGTTGTCATTAGATCATTTGTAAGAAGTCATTAGGATAAAAATTTAACATAATACAATCCGTTAAGATAATAAATATAACATGAAAATAATACAAACACAATGACCCGTTTCTCATATCTAATAAAGGGCACAGTTAGCACATAAAATAAATAAATAAATAAACAACAATTAAAATGCAAGGAAACTAAAATTATATGTCACAAGAAATGAAAGCAAAAGGTGGAGAAAGCGACCAGCCCTTCTGTGGTTCTTGTAATCGATGAAAAGTGTGAGGCGCCGTTTCGAATATAAAAGAGGAAGAGGAAGAACTGCAATTTGTCCCTTTCCCATTTGTTTATGTTTATTTATGCAAAAGTGAAATATGGGATCAAATAACATATAAAACCCCTAAACTATTGCCTATAGTAATACAGTTTACAAACTCATCCACTGTAAACCCTAGATTTACAACTCGTTTAGAAGTAATTTTAAAATAATTGAAAATAATTTTTAAATTAATCTTTATTAAAAATTCAAGTGTACGTATTTTGGAAAAACAATTAAGTGCTTCCTGCAAAAAGTACATATTTGATGCTTCTTTAAAAAAACACTTAAATGCTTTTAAAACCCAAAATTAATTACACCAAAAACATTTTCAATTATTTTTAGAAGCACTTTCAAACGAACAATTAAACTATTTCGTCAATCCTTCTGTGAGTACAAATGTTAATTTTCAGCCTAACAAGTGCATGTTTTGTGTTGACGAGGACAAATTTATGTGGACGGTGTCAATGGTTTATGTAGAGTTTGTCATTTTTATATTAGTTTGTAAATGTATTACAACTATTGAAACATGGGCAATACAATAGTTTAGGAGATTTATATATAGTTGGCCCTAAAATATATCATCCTCTCTACTCTCTTGTGATCTTGCTTATTTTCAATTTTTTTGAAATAGTTTTTATGACCGAAAGTTACGAGTTCGAATTATAAAAATAATCTGTTTACAAAATAAGAATAAAACTGCATAAACGTTCCTTCGTAACCATCACAAAGCAAAGAATCTTATTATTTTGAGGTTTCCCTTTTTAATCATTACGATCTTCTGGTTATGGGTATGGGTCAATTGCTGCATGGTCCACTTTAATTGAAGAGTTTAGTTTTAGAAAGTTGGTAGCAAGGCATTTTCATTATTTATTTACTTTTGTGAATTGTAAATAAATTTGTTATGTTCAACTACGAATGATGGGTTGAATATTGTTTTCAGTGGGAGCTGATATTTGTCTAATCTATTATTCTACTGTTTCAACCACAGTATCAGAAGATTTTTTTAGTTATACATATCTTCACATTTAAGTCACGTACCTTTCCTTCAATAATTCTGCTTTAAATTATCAAAAATACATATGTATAGGTTAGGAATGGGGCATCGATACACATTTTGACACATATTTTGTAGAGTTTACGTTATCATGTATTACAACGATCCAACTGTCTATCTTTTAGTTCTTCTTTTAAAGATCATGTCTACTAAAAAACATGCAAATTCGAAACCATATGAAATTTGGATTGAATTATTATTATTTTAGTGTTTCTTTGCAAAATTGTATATGTCCATCTTCTATACTACATAAATATTTTAATGGTTTTGGATTTGTTTAAACTTTTTGCAACAATGATCTATGATTCTATAAATGACAAATTTAAATATAAATAGTTTGTTTGTTGACATACATTATGTAGTAGACTTTTACCAAATTGTGTCAAACAAATGAGTGTCGCTCTATCCTAACCCTAACCCTATATATGATGCATTGTAAATTTGTAAGCATCATTTATATGTCGTGTATATATAGGCAAGGGCCAATGGAAGTAGGAATCCGAGTCCATAAAATATATATGCGAAGATTTTTCGAGGACTCTACGAATGTTTGGTACAAGTTTCTTTTGGGCCTACTAAATGTTTGATGTAATGCATCTTAGAATATCTCGACATGTTGCGTTGACATCACTCAACAAGTTCTTTTATATCACTCATCAGATTGTTTTGGCATATGCTGATATCTGTTGATATATGCATGACAAGCCACCAAATAAATAAATTGATTTTTTTTATGCGCTTCGCGCTCAATTCCTGACTAAAAAAATTTGTATTTACCACTGGGACCTTCAAAGTATAAATTCTGCATCCGCTATTGCATATAGGTGCAAGAAGATTAACCCAAAGATGTCTGACATGTGCCAAAAGGATCAAGTGAATGAGATAATACAATTTCAATCATATATCTGAACTCTGCGATGCCTTTTTTGGTTGGCACCAGATGGTGGGACTGCCAGGCGCAGGAAAAAATTCATATATGGGGATCGGAACATGGGGTTGCTCTTCAAAGTCTCAACCATCTGCCTCTGCCACCGGCCAATGTCAAGAAAAAAGGTCAAACCCTACTGTGATTACCTTTACAGGATGCCATTCGCACCATCTCTATATCTAATTAATCATTCTCAAAGAGAACAACATGCTTAAAGACATGCCATATACCCACTTGAAACTTGAAAGCTAGTGCAAAGCTTACATTTGCATTATCCTATATGTGGTGGAAAAAGCTATGTGGGGACTATCATTTCCATCCTCAAGATGACCTTGATCATCATCATCATCATCATCATCATAACAATTGATGCTATAATCCAGCTTTACTATTAATACGGAGATGTAATCGGTAATATAATTCATAAAAATAAACGATGCATAAATTTTTATTTATCTCATTTACTGTCATACTAATTTTCCATCCATATCTTCATATTTGACATACGTATGGGAATTATTTGTGTAATTAGAACACCAAACATGATGTAATGTAATAAAACGTACTCATGTTCATTATAACGACGTAGATATGACCTACAATATCAATTTGTTGTCCACGCATATGATAATGCATGGATCGATTACAATATATTTGTGGTTGTGTTTGCACAAAATATGAGAACTAGCTAGCTACTGATGTACATATGTAGTAATCATTACATCAATATCCCACATAAAAGGATTACCGACACAGATGACAACCTTGGGGGGTGCTGGATGATCATTTCCATTTGGTTTTTTAGTCAAAATAGTCTCAAATGGATATAAATGATCATTGAGATTGTCCACCATCAATCATTCTGATTCATTCTGTGAAAAATATCTGTTAAATTGAAGAAACCACCAGTTTAAGGAGAATGATTGATTTGACAAATATAACCTCAATTTAACAGAGATTTCTTACAGAATGACCAAAATAGTTGAACGCTGGACAATCTCAAAGATTAAAATGAGAGGTTATGACAATTTTAGAGATAATTTTAGATAAAGATATAAAGCAAATCAAATATTCCAATGCCACTTCTATAATTATATCACAATCACACCTTGCGACTTTAATTCATTTCCATATGTATGATATGCAGCACAGTAGTCTCTTTCCTCAGATAAACTCCTCCTTCCACATTGATAAAAGAAAAAAGAAGAAGAAAAAACTCCTCCTTCCACACGAAAGAAAACAGAGAGTTAGGCAAAACCAGAACAATTTAGTTTCTTGATCTTCACCCCTCTCCAAATATTACAAGATTAATTAGATTTCATAATATCCATTGCATGAAATAATTAAACAAAAACCACAGACAGACATACGGATTAATTACCATGAGCCAATGATTGAGACCCTCTCATAGAACTTGTTTGCCTATTATTTCTTCTTTCCCTATTTTTTTTCTATATATACAAAACAAGAAACAAAAAACAAAGAAAAAGGCAGAAAATTAAGGAAATTAAAAGAGGTAGAAAAAAAAAAGAATTGGCAGTAGTACTTTTTTTTTTTTTTTGCAAACCCTACTAAAATATATGAACCTTTAAGACAAATGATAAAACTAAGAAGAAGAAGATCGAAAGAATGAAAATCCGCCAATATTACACATCACTTGGTGACTCACAAATGCTCTCTAAGTGCGGCCTCCAAACCCCAACACGTCCTCGCCGCCGATCCCGCTGCGACGAATGCTTTTCCGACAGTATTTCGCTCAAGTACCGATCATTTATCAACAGGTTGGTCATGGTGATGCTGTTCAAAACAACGTTGTTGTTGTTGGTGACGTTGTTGTTTTCGGCGTCTTTGATTCGCTTCTTCTTCGCCGACGACGATCTTGTCCTCCCCTTCTTTTCGGACGTCTTCGAAGCGGCAGGCATCGGCATGAGGAAGTAAATCTTTCCTCGTTGGAGTTCCGCGTCGGGCGGAACGATCACGATCTTGGGAACGACCCCGTCGTGATCGGACGCCGACGAGGAGGGCTTCTTGAGGACGTGCTTAGGGTACGCCTTCATGATCTCGCTGGCCCGGATTGTGCCGCTGATTTCCTCGACTCTGCCGTTAGAGTGTACGACTCGAATCACGTCCAAAGCTCCACATGGAAGAATGCAAGAGATGCAGCACCTGATGGTGTTTTTCATGGCTAGCTGCTGCCTGCTGCTGCTCCTGCTTTCTAGCTAGCTATGTTTTTTCTCTCCCTCCAATGGTCTCTCTTTGAGAGAGGAGAGAGAAGTGAGGGAAGTAGTGAATGAAAGAGAGAATACAGAAGTCTCTTTAATTAAAAACCCTTTTCTGTTTTTTGTGATTGTAACAAATGATGGTTTTATAAAATAGTACCAATTTTTTTGACAATTTATTTAGACATACAAAATTAATATATTTATTATGACAATTTTAATATAAGTAGAAAATGCATATCTCTATTATATATTATCAGTGTTTTCTTTTAGGCGATTTATTTAATATAATTAGAGACACAAAATTAATACATTTGTTCTAACATTTTTAATATAATTAAGTGAAATTTTCATATTTCTATTATAAAATGTGTTAAATTTACGTGTTGAAATAATTTCATTTTTTTTAGACCTTTTGATTGTGGGATGAGCTAGCTAGATGATGAGGAAATTTTCTGCTTATGACTCGCTTAGGATGAAATTCATGGCATGAATAATTGCACCTCCCTCTGTACTTTGCCCTTTTGGTATCCATCATTTAGGGCCCACCCCACCCCATCCCTCTCTTTCTTTCCTTCTCCTTCACCAAGTTCAATAATTTGGGGTTGGTTTTAAAGGATTGGGGGTCCTTATGGAGGGCACATGTTCGTGCACGACTGGGACTGCCAGCAAAGGGGTGCCTTAGCTCAAGTGTTTCAGTTGAGGACTGACACGTGTCGTAACAAGATTGATTAACTACTTTACTATTTTCTAATTTAGTGTGTGGAGGCTACTTGTATGTATGTGTGGGGTTGATTGAGAGGGAGTGAAATCGATCGGCTTTGTTGGGACTCGGGAGTGAATTGGGAATAGAAGGGGTGGGAAATGAGATCAAATCTTTTGTGTTTAAAATGGGTGTGGCATCTTTGTTACTCAAATTATTGATTGATACGTTTTTAAAAAATTTAATTTTCTTAATTTTGTTGTCAAAAACTTAATATATATCAGTCAATTATTGAAACCACATAAAAACCACACTTATTTTGTATGCAGAATATTTGATCGCGTGGAAAATGCGGCATAGTGAAAATCTTCTTTTGAAAGAGGGGATTTGTGATCTCTCAAAGTTTCAATATCCCAAGCAAGATCATGTGGGCTGTGGTTTTCATTGGAAAGTGAGGGGTGATACATCACTTCTTTTAAACTTTATCTCTTTGTGGTTTTTGGATTGCAAAGTGATTTGACTCAGTGTGAATGTATTTGCCTATTTTGCAAAAGGATTTTGCTTGCATCATCTTGACATCGTAGGTCTACCGTTAGTGAATTCACTTCAATCAACAGTTTACAATTGTTCGTGTTGTTCATACTATGTACTAGTTGTTTGTAACTTCGTTTCTATAGTCTTAATGTGTACCAATTGATCACGAACTTCTGATTAATAAAATTGGTTTTTGATCTAATCTCACATATGCTTGATGTGGAAAGCGAATGGTTCCTACTTTTATATTAACTTTTTAAAGCAAATGAAAGTAAGCTTAAGATTCAAAATCACTATGAATTGAGTTAATTTTTCATTCTAAAATTAGGTAGATTTCATGAGAGATGTGAGAGTTCTTTCTCCCTTATCTTAGCTTAAGACGACTTTAGAGATACTATTGGAAGTAAATAAAAAAATGTAAAGAGAAGATGTGACACCATAAGAAATTATTCAACCTAATCTATTCGAGAAAGATTTTTTTCAAGATTGATTTGATTGTATAAATTTATCATGGATTGTCCTTTAGAATTAGAACATCTCCTTGGAACCGACCCTTAGATTTGATGAGAAAATAATGCAAGCTATAGTTAAAACTGTCGAAAATGATTGATAATTGCCAGTTAATTATGTCCCATCCACAACAAGCCCCGTCCATTAAAGCGGGCAACATGTGAGCTATGGAGTGAAGGGGGCCATATACAAGAGTTCTTGATTTTTGTATTGGAAAATTAAACTACGACAATGACTCATTTACACTCTTTCGAATACCACCGATGTAGTTCAGGGTAATAGTATGATGTTATATGTTTTAAGCTTTTTATGCAATATTATTTGTTCAATTTAAAACATTATTATACGTTTTAGAGTAATTTCATCCCTCCCAATCGCAAGAGGGATTGGGTGATTCAATCCACCAAAAGCAACAAAAGGAGCTCCGCCCCAGCCCAAACAAGTCGGTCTACAATCAAAAGAAGGAGGCCTGAGTGTTCACTCGTCGTGCCTTAGAGCAATTCCACCCCTAAGGACTTTGCACCAGCACCCAACGCATTTATCCACTCAAATGAACAGTAACAGACTCCAGTGAACAGTAATAGGCCAAGGCATCTCCACCCCTAAAAAAATGCGCTGGTACCTAGTGAAAAAATGCGCTGGCACAAATGATCTCCATCCCTACAAAATGCGCTGGCACCCAGCCCATTTAAGATATTTTTAAATTTTGTCTAAAAGAATAAAAAAATAAAATAGTTTTAATTTCGGATAGGATTTTTAACCAATCTCGTCACGCCACATGTCATTATCTGAACGTACTATTTTGTGAATAGATTTCCACTAAGATTTTCAACCAATCCCGACACGCCACGTGTCACTTCCGTTTTACAATAATTTAGCCAAGATTTCGATAAGATTTTCAACCAATCACGTCATGCCACGTGTCATTATCTGAACGTACTATTTTGTGGATAGATTTCCGATAATATTTTCGACTAATCCCGACATGCCACGTGTCACTTCCGGTTTACAATAATTTAGCCAAGATTTCGATAAGATTTTCAACCAATCACGTAGTGCCACGTGGCATTGTCCAGAACCTCATCCTTTCTTTTTTTTGTCCATATAAACCCTACATCCCTACATCCATCCTCACACCAAGCTCAATCCTTCTTTTTAGCTCAGAATCCTTGTTCATCGTTTTCAAATCTTAAGTTCTTATTACAATGTCTTCTTCAAGAAGGGTGTATAAACAGTTGCAGGAGCAACAACAAAGGTTGTTGGCACAACAGGCAGAATTGGCCAATCTCGAGGAAGGTGGAAGTGGAGGTGGAGATAAGGCTTTCTTCATGGAGGAGGATGAGGATGATCACCATAGAAGGCAGAAGGCCTCACATTCCCGCCGTGTCATGGAAGCCGTGGGTCAGATAGCCAAACCAAGACGTGTTGCAAACCTCGATAGAAAAAGGGAAAAACAAGGTAAAAATCTATTGGAAGATTATTTTATTCCCAATAGCATATTCCCTGATCATATTTTTAGACGGCGTTTTAGAATGCAACGAAATTTGTTCAACAAAATCATGAGTGATATTTGCAACCATGATTCATACTTTGTGCAAAAAGAGGATGCTTTTCATGTTCTAGGTCTTATTCCCGAGCAAAAAATTACGGCATCCTTGCGAATGCTTGCATATGGAGCATCTGCAGATCAAGTGGATGAGATCGCGAGGATGAGAAAAACAACTGTTTTGGAGTCCCTGATGCGTTTTTGCTCTGCAATTGAAGCCCTCTACACCAATGAGTACCTCCGGACACCCACGCCAAGGGACATGCGAAGGCTTCTGAGGAAGGGTGAGATGCGAGGCTTCCCTGGCATGATTGGAAGCATGGACTGCATGCATTGGACTTGGAAAAACTGTCCAAGTGCGTGGCAAGGAGCATATGGCAACAGAAAATAAGCCAAAAGCATCATTTTGGAAGCGGTGGCTTCATTTGATACATGGATTTGGCATGCTTTTTTTGGTGTTCCAGGAGCTCAGAATGACTTAAATGTCCTTACCCAATCCCCAGTGTTCGACGAACTGCTGCAAGGAAACTCGCCGAGATGCACATATACCATTAATGGTACCCAATAGGAGGGATCATACTACCTTGCAGATGGCATTTACCCAAGGTGGTCAACATTTGTCAAAACAGTGCCACATCCACATACTGAAAAGGAAAAACACTTTGCAAAATGTCAAGAAGGGTGTAGGAAGGATGTCGAGCGTTGTTTTGGTATCCTGCAAGCTCGTTGGGCGATTATCAGGGATGCAGCTAGAATGTTTAATGTCGAGGCTCTTCGATCCATCATGATGACGTGTATTATTCTCCACAACATGATTGTTGAAGATGAGTATGATTATGATGGCGTCGATGAATATGAGGCGGATCCGATGAACAACTCAAGAACACGTATCTATTGTGCTCATGATGGGACCGAAGATCCAGTGCAACACGAGCCATTGGAACGCGATGGACGTTACAATGAATTGATCGTTCAACGTTACACTAATGTGCAAGAGCCATACTGGCACGTAACCCGCCAGAATGACTTGATTGAGCACCAGTGGGGATTGCATGAAGGCGAAGATAATTAGAATGAGGCTTGTGGTTGAAGAATAAATTGTATTTTTTTTAAGTTTATGTAATTTATGTATGTAATTCTAATGTGTTGTTGTTTTTTAAGTTTATTTTAGTGAGTTTGTAATTCTTATTTATTTGGTGAGTTTATGTAATTCTATGTAGTGTGTTTTTGTTTTTAAGTTTATTTGGTGAGTTTATGTAATTCTATATTTGGTGAGTTTATGTAATTCTATGTAGTGTGTTTTGTTTTTAAGTTTATTTGGTGAGTTTATGTAATTCTATTTATTTGGTGAGTTTATGTAATTCTATGTAGTGTGTTTTGTTTTTAAATTTATTTGGTGAGTTTATGTAATCTTATTTCATGTGTTTAAATAAAGTACAAAAGAAATAAAGTTTTAAAAATAAATAAAGAATTACATTAAAATTGCATAATAAATTAAATAAAAATAAATAAAGTTTTAAAAATAAATAAGAAATAACATAAAAATTACATAAGAAATTAAATAAAGTTCAAACCTAAAAAAAGAAAAAAACAAAAGAAATTAAATAAAGTTCAAAAGAAAAAAGAAAGAAAAAACATAAAAAATACATAAAAATTATACAAAGTCTCTCGAGTTAGGATATGTGGTGCGAGGATCTTGGTTGTCACAAAAGTTGCTAGAACCCCCTTGACTTGTTTCCGCATCTCTTGCACGCCTCATTCGCATTACATCTCTTTTTTCCGATGTCAAAAAATATTTAGAATT